GTTACGTGCTGTGTTTGGTGTGCCTGCAGATGCTATCACTTGGTGCACCACTCTTACAGGAAAGGGACCGAGCCACTTCAGTGGCGTCGCAGGTTGCAAGCTCGAGTGAACTTACGTGCGTGTATGTCATCCGGCCACCCACATGCAGTACATGGAGCCAGACATGTTCAAAAAGGCTAATAAAAGGTGCCTGCACAGTAAGAATTTTGAAGAATGTATCCTAAATATCACGATTTTCATGTTCCAGGTACACAGACGCCAAAGTCTTGGTATGTCAGCAAAGGCATACAAACAGAAAAACCTTCGCAAACATCGGTTGAAATTCAGGCGTCGACCACATCCTCCGGTATGTGATGCAGTGTCTTTACATAGGCTTACATTTGAGAGAAGAGATCATAACTGAATTTCATTTGCAATGCACTTTTGTTGCAGATGCATTGCACAGCTGTGTTCGTCCCGAGGACGAGTCCGTTTCGGAGGTGACAGGCCCAAGTCCCCTGGGAGATGAGACCGGTGCCCCAGGACATCTACAAGCAGCAGAAGGAACTCAGGGTGAGCACTTACACGAAATTGGAACAAAACAATGAATAACTGTCTCTATGCTTATTCCTACTGTGTAGCAGAAGCAACCTTCGCACAACACGAGCAGCCACTTCAGCGGTGCTCTACGCCTATTAGTGGCACAGTCCCCAGCTCTTTGGACTTGGACGGCACTCCTCAGACTTCGCAGCCCGACACCGATCCTGTGGACATGAGCGATGAGGAGAGCGACTCTGAGGACATGTACAGCGGTGCCTTGGACACCAGCTATCGGCCAAATGATTCGATCGACTCAGATGAGGAACTGGATTCTCCAGACACCAGTCCCTGGAACGACTCCGTGACCTCGGATGATGAAGGACCTGATGCGTATGTGCTCACTGTACCTTCTCGAAACCATAATTTTATGCTACAAATAGGATATAGCTTTGATGTTCTGGATTTCGAGTGTTAAGTCCTAAATGATCACCTAACACAGGGGCTTCTGAAGTATATCTGATGCGTGGGGGCAACATCCGGGGGCTCATGTTGCATCGTGTAGTTCACCTCTCTCTCTCTCTTTATATATATACCGGGTGATTCAAGGAGACGGCAGCTCTTTAAATCGACCGGAAAATTCGGTTTCCTAACCTATCGCGCTACGACTTTGTGCAGCGTTGCCCACAGATGGTGCATTTTTTTTGTAAAATTTGCGAAGAGCGAACTTACCTGAGGAAAAAGTAAAGAAAGAAAAAGGCTTAGCTCCTATGGAAACGCAGCGACGCCACTGGTCTTCAAACAACACGGTGCCGTTTCGCACAGGATACAAGAGATGACGCAACGAACGAGCGTACGGCGCCGAGAGCCGGCCTCTTTAGCAGACAATCTTTTCGACTCAAAAGCGGCGCGCGTTCCGCGGGCGGCGACAGTCGCAAAAACAAAAACAGGTGCGGTGACAACAGGGAACTGCACTGCAGTTCCTTGTCTGCTAAATATGCCGGCTCTCGGCGTCGTCTGCTCGTTCGTTGGCGGCAGTTGGCGTCGCGACCGTTTGCGCCATCTCTTGTGTCCCGTGCGAAACGGCGCCGTGTTGTTTGAAGACCGGTGGCGTCGCTGCGTTTCCAGCCTTTTTCTTTCTTTACTTTTTCCTCAGGTAAGTTCGCTCTTTGCAAATTTCACAAATACAATGCACCATCTGTGGGCAACGCTCCACAAAGTCGTAGCACGATAGGTTAGGAAACCGAATTTTCCGGTCGATTTAAAGAACCTGCCGTCTCCTTGAATCACCCGGTATATCAACAGCAACTGACGAAGCACAGTGCAGAAAAATGAAGGCTGCAGTCTGATAGAATCTTTGGAGATTGATTAGTGAGAACGCACATATTGGACAAACAATGAATGACAACTTCAAACGAACGGATTAACAAGGCTTCCAAAGAAAGAATACATGTCACCAACTACTGATTAGCTTGTGGCACCTCGTCATCTATGGAGTGCAGCCTGCTTCAACAGCCTTACGGGTGGTGAGAGGGGGGGGGGGGGGTCGGAACAGCTTTTAGGGTGGGGGCATGCCCCCTGTGGTGTAGAACCTGTGGGGCAACTGCCCCCCTGGTTCCGGAGCCCCTGACCTAACAGCGAGCGAAAGCGTAGAGGAAATGGAAAAAACACAGCTTCTGAAGCAAGTTTTAAATGCACTGCTTGTTTTGTTTTGCAGAGAGTGCAGCACCTCTGCCACGACCACCAACCCCGTGAAAGAAAGGAAGTTCGTCGTCTGCGCTTCAATGCTCCTACAGTTGTTTTCGGTCTGTAGGGAATGCTTGGCTCCTACACATACAAGTTTGAAGGAACGGGGGACCTTGCTGCATGCCGTGACTGTGTGTGTAAGGGGCCACAAGACTGTCTGGGAAAGCCAACCCAGGATTAATGGGAAGGCATTGATGAATCTTCTCCTACCCGCCGCCATTACATTCTCTGGGGCCAGTCCTACACGAGTTATTCGTCTCCTGAGCTCTGTAGGTGTTGCCGTTCTTCAAAAGAGTCAACTCTTCCTGATTCAAGGCTGTCTGGTGTTCCCTGCCGCTGCAAAGGTGAGTACACCTGCCTAGAGAATTGTTGGTTAAACATGTATCTCTTTGTGTTGAGATTGATGTTATATTTCTGTATTTCAAAGGTATGGAAAGAAGAGCAGACCACCCTCCTTACAGCGATGCGTGGCGGCAAGCTTCACCTGGCAGGCGACGGCCGTGCCGATTCTCCCGGCTACTCGGCGAAGTATGGCACGTACACGCTGCTGGAAACAAACATCAACAAAATCCTACATTTCGAGGTTATCCAGGTAAGAACTGGCTAAGTAGAAAATTGCCTACTTCAATTGAGTTATTTATCTTGTTACCTTTCGTTTATAACTAAGTAGAATATTTGTTTGGGTATTGTTTATGTAGAGTTGTGCGAATATTTGAATAGTAGTTTCGAAAGATACGATATTCGCTTCGACATGAACTGGACTATTCGCGTTTTTCGAAGTCTTGATTGCGGCGGGTTAGCTCCGTTGAGTGCACTTCTTACCGAGCATCAGTGCACTAGCAATGCCCGCGGAAGCGAGCTCCGCAAGTAACGCTTCTCTGCATTGCATCTGTGCTCGGTAAGAAGCGCACTCAACGGGGTAACCTGCCGCAATAAAGACTTGGAAAAGTATAAATATCGCAATTGCGTGCTTGGAAGAAAAGTATACATCAAAGCGGGATGGTGCACGCGTGCCGGCTGTATTTGAAAATAAATGGAAAATTTGTGAATGTGTATATCTACATTGTAGAAAAATTTCAAAATTAAACAGACTGTTATGCAAGATTATAATATGTTAGGCAAAGATGCCCTTACAATCTGCATTCCGCATGCGCGATTCAGTATTTTTAACCCGAGATTAACGAAAGAACATTTTATATAGCAAGATTTGTAAATTCACTCAATTGGGTATAGTTGGCCATCTCTATAGGATTCATTTTATGTCAAATCCGTCGTTTACTTGTCATCCCAAGACATCAGACCTTCCGAGGTCACAGTTCATAAATATAGATAAATTAAACTCAGCTTTTAAATGAACAAGTGTTCTATATTTTGTTACCTTTTCTTTTTACATCAGTCAACAGAAGTCAAGTCCAGCAACAACATGGAAACCGAGGGCCTCAAACGTTCCTTCGACCATCTCCAGGGCTGGGGGTTCTGCCCACATGTGCTCGTCACGGACCGCCACTTTGGGGTGAACGCCCTGATGAAGAGCAACTACCCCAACACCAAGCACCGTTTCGATGCATGGCATGTTGCCAAAGGTAACATTATCTTACCAAACGGATTACGTAGTACAAGTGATGCTGAACTTAGTTTTTAGTAAGCTTGGTGCTGCCATTTGTTTTAGTCCGTTGAACATATATGTATATTGTCATTCAAAATGCATTGTTACTCTGCTTGCCATGCACACACCTTTTCTAATTTTAAGGCATCGGGAGCAAGCTGACCCTCGCAGGGAAAACAAAGCGCAACAGCCTGCTAAACAAGTGGGTCAAGACTGTCCGGGCACACGTTTACTGGTGTGCCCAAACCAGTGATGACAATGGTGCACTGGTGCTGGCCAAGTGGATGTCCCTGATGCGCCATGTGGACAATGTGCACCAGCATCCCGACCCGCTCTACCCTGCTTGCACGCATGCCCCAATCGTTGAAGAACGCTGGTGGCTTCATAAGGGTATTGTTGACATATACCAGGGAATTTACAGTGTGCATCATCCTTACCATTTAACCTGGTGCTGTTTCTAACAGCAGGAACTGAGCCGTACGACGCCCTCGAAAAGGTGGTAATGTCACGACAGCTGCTGAAGGACATCCCTAAGCTGTCTGGAGATGGCCAGACGTACCGGCTCGAGTCCTTTCACAGCCTGCTGCTACGATTTACCCCGAAGTCGAGCCACTTCAGTCTGGAGGGCATGGAGGCACGGTAGGTTGGGATTTTGAAGTATTCTAGGGCAACGAGGTTCCCTTTTATGTTTGTAGAATGGTGAAATATGCTAAGGACATATTCTGCCTATTTTGCGTGGCCTTCACAGGACTGCCATTGCTGTCCTTCATTACAACGCCAACTCGGACCGAAAGCAGGCCACAACCAAGGATGGCAAGGACTGCTTTGTCCTGAAATTCCCTAAGGCGAGGAAAGGCGAGTGGGTCGTCAACCGAAAAATGGAGCCTGCGTCCTACGGCAAATGCAAACTTTTTTATTGACACAATGTATGTGACTTAATTCTTATCATTCTTGACCTAGACTACACCCAGAAGCTGTTCGGCTGCTTCCTGGAACTGGCAGAGGGAGTCCGGACCTACCAGGAGGCCCAGGCCACCTACGTTCCCCGCTCACGAGGGAAGTCTCTGTGCAGCGTTTCCCAGAGGCCAAACAAGGAAGCCGCCGTCCTGGCCCACAGGTCCAGGTTCTCGACTTAGCAGTATTGGAACCCTGTGTATGTGGCCGACGGAAACTGTTCCCTGATCCTTCCGACCACACAGCATGGGAGCCTGACACGTCGGCGACGGCCCAGCCTGCCCCAAATGCACCATACAAACTCCTTGTAGGCCGTGAACCTATATTTTCTGAAAAAGGTACATGCCATGTAGCATTTCGGTAAAACTTGCTTTACCTGAACTATCAAGTTGAGACACTCGCGAACCAGCACCCTTTCATTTCAATAACAACGAGCAAGACTAGTTTATTTTCCCCACAACTTGTATCTTTGGGGTCTGTCAGTTGCTGCACTTCGGCAACTCAGTTTGCCACAAAGGGCTTCCGTCGGTTTGCTGCCCCCTTGACCCAGTACGTTGGCACTGTGGAGTCCGTCCAGAGCCGCGTGGAAGCACTTTTCAGGTGTAGAGCTCTCGTGATTTGTGGGATAGGTGCGCACCAATTACGGCTTCCATCATCTTGAGTCGGAGCAGCAAAAGGTATTTAAGAGGGGCAACCCCGGATTTGGACATGAACAAGCTTGTGTTCACTTTCCCCGACTGAGTCTTTGTTGCCATGTATGGCACGGCGCTTTAGGCTTTTGGACTTCGTCTTGTCGCTTTTAAAATCTCGGGTGATCACTCCGGGGACAAACACGTCTCCAATGCAGAGAAGCTCCGTGCACCAGTGCTCCCACACAGCCTGCAGAGACTCCGGCTGGGGGTCATCTCAATTGACTCCGAGCTCCCGCAATCCCTGAAACATTATCTTGACGATTGCTGTTGTAGGAGCCACACAAATCCAAACGGATCAAAGATTCTCGCCAACACTAAAAGCATGGACCTCTAGCTGTCCAGTCTTGATGACAAGAAATCGATGAGAGAGCTTATCATGTACTCAAACTGGTATGTCTGAGGATTCCAGGCCACTCCCAGGACCTTTCCGAGTCCCGAATGTCCAAGGTCGGCATCGGTGTGTTGGGTCTCTCCATCTTCTAACAAATCTACCAGTTCGAGGCCATTCGACATTCACTTGCAGGTCGCATATTCCGGCTTGATTCAAGATTTTCGCTGCCTCTTCATAGAGCCCCTCGCCTCCTGTCCACTATCAACACCAGTGACGGGGTCATCAATGTACAGTTGGCTCCGTATGGCGTCTGCCGTCTTTGTTAACTGCTCTAGCACGTTTTTGAGATGATGCTGTAATGTTGCAGCTAGGAGAAAGGGGCTCGACGTCATGCTGAAGGACACGCGCATCGCCTGATATGACACAATTGGTTGAAGCTTGTAGGGTTCTCGTCCGATTCCCCGGGCCCCTGTCTCCGGATGAACGTGACACAGCAACGCATAGCTCTCGGCAGAAGGGGTTTATTCCACTCACATTCTGCTGGGGGGTTTCGGGATCGGGACAGGTGATCGAGGAAGCCTGGAGGGGAAGCGCCGCCACTGTATGCTGCATGCCGATCGTCCGTGCGGTGCTAGTCTGCACCGCATCCTGTGGACGTCGCCGTCGAGGGTCAAATCCGGGGTCTAAGTCCGGACCATGTCACCGGGCCGTCGCCCGAGCCGGCGGCGCGGTCGCCACCCCCGCGCACGTCCGTCGTGGCCCGTTTCCCGCGCAAGAGTCCTCTTCCTATTTCCCGTCGTCCGAGCCCTCCCCGCCGTTCCCGCCGTCACCGCGTACCAGACCGGCCGGAGCCTCTTCTTTCCCATCTTGGGCGGTCTCTCGCTGGAGCTCCCCGTCTGGCTCTGCCGTAGCACGTGCAGGGCCTCGGGCGCCGACGCTGTCCGGGAGCGGGGGGGTCCTGGATGTCCACCGCCAACGCCGCCAACGTCTTCCAGATGGGTCCCGAGGCAGGAAGTTCTCGGGCACCAAGCTTCAAAGGCGCCGCCTTCGCCACGGCGGCATCCGAAAACGAGTCCCCAGGCGCCGGCGTCCGGTTGTCGACGAGAGGGGGGCTGACAAGACCCCACACCATCCCCCCCTCAAACCAAGGCCCGGGGGTCATGAAGGTCAGAAGTGGAGGTTGCGGAGATGACCCAAATACCGCACGGGAGCTCAGCTGAGTGTCGCCGATAATGGTGGTCACCCTTGATGATCGCGGCTGGGTGTCAAACGAGGCAAGCCCGCGGGGACAGCTCATTCGCCGGGAAGCTCGACCAGGCAGTGCACAGTCCAGAAGCGGGCCCAGAGCACCACCGCTCACAGCGCGCACGGGCACTAAGTCGCACACAATACACCAAAATTGAAAGTTCCTTCCGCCCAGTGTTCGAGACAGAAAAACAAACGCTAACAAATCGCGGCACTGAATATCGTACAGCGTGACAAAACCAAATCTTCAGCTCAGTGTGCATGCCCCAAAATACAAACGAAGCTCATTGTTCTAAAACTATTAAGCATACACTCATCAAGCTCGTCACGCTACATGTTCAAATGATGTACCCAAAAATGAAACGTATCATCAACTCAGGAAGCATGCAACAACACCAAACTATTGTCGAAATGTATAGTCATTAAACAACCATTGTTCTTATACAAGACAACCCAATCGCTCTCTACTAAAATGTTACATAATCTACGGGAGCGCTAGAGAATCGTTTCTCTGACAACAAAATTCACTTTCCTCACAGCTAAATCACTTGTGATGAAAACACAAAACGTGAACACAAAAGATTACCGGCTGCACGTCACAAGCAGCTACAAATCCTACACCGTTTGCGAGGTGCGATGCACAATAACCATACGAACAAAACCTGCCGCTAACAGTATCAATTAACATTACGCACATTCACGCAGACATCCTACGCGACTCCTGCGCCACAAGCAAGCCACGACTAAGCTACGCGGCATGCCGGATGGATAACCACCACCCCGAGAGGCCCGTGTCCCGCGGTACCGGCCATTGAAACCAGCACAAGGGGACAACGTTTTGATATGCCGGATGATGCGCCCAGCAAGTCTGTTGGACGTCCTTTTTTTTACAAGGCTCTGTCCGCAACGTCTGGCCGTGTACCAGAGGTTGCGGCGTCACTGTTCGGGGATAATCTCCAAACAAGAGCGACGAGCGTGCAACGGGGGTACACACAAAAGTGTAGTCGAGCAACCACTGTGAGTCCTGGCCGTGCACAAGCTCGAAAGTTGAGATCAACGCATTGACGCACATTCAAGTTCTTCCCCGGCCAAGCCACAACACCGCATGACTGAAAAGTCTTCTTGCGACTGTCAAGGTCGGCCAGGATCGAGCAATGGAGGTACCTCATCTACGCGTCTCGCAACTCTTCTATTCTCAATCCAAGCAACGAGTCCTTGGATGAACGCAGCAGGGTAGGCACAAAGCCCGCCCCAGACCAAGTCAAAGCACCGCATAACTCAAAAGTCTTCTTGCAACTGAAAAGACTGGCCAGGTTCGAACAATGTGAGCACCCCGCACGCGCCTTTTCTCTTCCGCGCTACTAGCGCGACAGCAAAGTCTCATATAATCTAAACGGCCGATCTTGGAAATGGACGAGTTAATAAACTATGTTTGCTTCGCATAAACCGTTTTTGCTGAGTCGAAGTGTTTACCGCATTTACCGCTGGCTTCCAACACCCGCTGGTCATTCATGCAAAAGCTGCAGTTTGTACAGCGACGGGCTGACCTAACGCACAACAGTTATAGGCCGCCGACGTCCATGCCGCTGCCATAATTTCTAGGCTTCCCGGGCACCCGCCGACGTGAACCGTACGTTTTTCCGGGCCTCCCGCGCAGCTGTACAGGATAAACTATCAACAACTCGTCTCATTATCGCAAGACCGTCACCTCCTTCGTGAGGCTCTTCACTACACGAGAACGGCTCTTTCCCCACCTAACCGTCTTTCCCTCTTTTACTCTAACACGTTATCCCTCCGCACGCCCTCGCGTCCCTACGCGTTCCAAACACGGCGGAGAACCTGTACCATGCCCAGCGGCAACGCAGGGCACGCACTCTTCCGCCCACTCTCCGGGCATGGGGACAACAACTCGAGAGCAATCTCCGCCCGAAGCGCAAACTCCGATATGGCGGTGTGAGGGTCCGGCCAAAACTGCCCGCAATTAAGCGGGATCACCCCCATGACTCTTCAGCCAGGGACGAACAGAACTTAACAATCGCGTCAACCTGGACCCCACGGAGCATTACACACAGCCACTGATAAGGTGGGCACGGAAACTCGGTGGCTTTCGGAATTCCGATGCATTCACACCAGGCATCGCGTATCCGGCAACACTTGGGGGGATTAGTCCCAAGGTATCACCTCTGGCCGCAAGGTACTGCATCAGTGCGGTCGAAGCCACAAGAGCACATATTGTACCCAAACGCTGTGGACGCACGGTACTCAAAACCGCGCCGACAGCTCAAACAAGGCCAGCTGGGAGCGAGCGTGCAGTAAAACTAGAACGCTAGGCTCCCCTCGGACAAAATGCAGTTCGGGAATTATTTCTCGATGCAGTCCGTGCAACCGCCGTCCGCAATGCAAGTAGTATTGAGATACTCCCACAGCGAACCCTCTCTGACGCGAGCAGTCGAAAACAGTCAATCCAAGGCACTGCAACGACACGCGAACAAAGGCGGCTGCGCGCGTCCCATCGCCTAATAAATGAGCTGACATCTCACCCATCGGACGTGGATGACCGGAGGGGCAGTTGGGGCGACGGAACACCCGACACTGCAGGCCTCAAAAAGGGCGGGAATATCCACGCACAATGAACACCTGCGCGGCATCAAGAGGCTGAAGAATAGACCTGCCAGCATCCGACGGCACAGCCAAACAGTAGATTAAGGCGCTCCTCGCCACAGGGGATAAACTCCTGGTTGATTGGGACAAAGGATTGTCAGCAAAGACAACGTCTATGTCCGCGCTTCCTCATCAAGCAAACGATCATGTCGGATCTCGTGCGGCGTTGCTACAACGAGGATCGCCCCCAAAAGGAGTGCGGAAGCAATGCCCCCATCCAACCGGAAACAGGCCAGGAATCGGAACTCTAGCCTGAATGTAAATCAGGCCCCACGTTGGGCGCCAATTATGTAGGGTTCTCGTCCGATTCCCCGGGCCCCTGTCTCCGGATGAACGTGACACAGCAACGCATAGCTCTCGGCAGAAGGGGTTTATTCCACTCACATTCTGCTGGGGGGTTTCGGGATCGGGACAGGTGATCGAGGAAGCCTGGAGGGGAAGCGCCGCCACTGTATGCTGCATGCCGATCGTCCGTGCGGTGCTAGTCTGCACCGCATCCTGTGGACGTCGCCGTCGAGGGTCAAATCCGGGGTCTAAGTCCGGACCATGTCACCGGGCCGTCGCCCGAGCCGGCGGCGCGGTCGCCACCCCCGCGCACGTCCGTCGTGGCCCGTTTCCCGCGCAAGAGTCTTCTTCCTATTTCCCGTCGTCCGAGCCCTCCCCGCCGTTCCCGCCGTCACCGCGTACCAGACCGGCCGGAGCCTCTTCTTTCCCATCTTGGGCGGTCTCTCGCTGGAGCTCCCCGTCTGGCTCTGCCGTCGCACGTGCAGGGCCTCGGGCGCCGACGCTGTCCGGGAGGGGGGGGGGGGGTCCTGGATGTCCACCGCCAACGCCGCCAACGTCTTCCAGATGGGTCCCGAGGCAGGAAGTTCTCGGGCACCAAGCTTCAAAGGCGCCGCCTTCGCCACGGCGGCATCCGAAAACGAGTCCCCAGGCGCCGGCGTCCGGTTGTCGACGAGAGGGGGGCTGACAAGACCCCACAAGCTCTTCCCCGCATATCGGCATTCTCTCACACCGTAGGAACTGCACCACACTTCGATCATTGTTCGAGAGAAACACTTGCAGGAAGGCTTTCTGAATGTCCGTGATGATCCCGATGTTCTGAGTGCGGAACTTGATGAGCAGGTCGATCAGCTCCAAATTCAAATTCTGCCCGCTTTCCAGAACTGTGTTCAGTGAGAAACGACCTCCAGCGCTCGACAATGCGTCAAATACAACCCTCAATCAGGTCGTTCTGCTTTCATGACGTACGACCACATGGGTGCGGCATGTAGTAGGCTCGACTGCTTGCAGAGCCGTTTCCTTTTTTACCTAGTTCGGCATAGCTCTTTTTTACATAGTCTCCGATGCAGGCATAATGATCCTTGACTATCTGCTCACTCTAGCAGGCAAGTGGTTCGCTATCTAAGATGCCTTACCGCATATCTAGGTTGTAAGTTCCTCGGCCGTTTGAAGCGACACTTCGTACCGACAGTCTTCGTAATTGATGATTTTGTTTCTGATGCTGAAGTATGGCTTCATAGTGAGAGGTTGTCGTTTGCTGTTCTTAGATTCCAAGGTGCCCCAGTGCCCAAACGAATCTGAGCTGAGCGGATATTTTTTTGTCGGTCTCCTCCCTCACGATGACCCCCATCACGCTCGTGGCCGACGAAGATTGTCGTAGACTTGGTTGTTCCGACCTGGCCCTGCGGGGTCCATTTGAATACCGTATCCACTGCCATCAGTTTGTGGCTCGGCACATCACGCTTCTGGTGACGACATCCCGGTAGTGATCGGCCCTGACCAGAAGTCCAATGTCATCCTCGACGGCTTTGCCAGGTAAGATGTCAATGATGTTCTTGCCCTCCATCTTCATCTGCGTCGTCACAACATCTGAGGGGGCCATCACAAGGTCAGCGCAGATGCAGGGCATTTCAGGAGCCTCCACCCGGACTTCTCTCCTGTCAAGCCGACTTCTAGCCAAAGCTCCACTTGGCGGCACATCACTTGATTGGCTGTTGCGTTTCCGTCGAAGGTGAAAATCCTGAGGTCCTCTTCACCCAGCACGGAGAGTTGCAGCCTCCCAGCTATGTCAAATCCGACAAACGTGCGCCGATTGAAACCATTCAAAAAAATGTCTGAGGAGCGTGCGCCCCTGACGACCTTCGGCCCACACATATGCCGTTTGCAGGAACACCTGGTTCTTGCTTGCTCCGATTGTGTTGTCTTGGATTCTGAGTGATGACGGACTGCAAAACTGGTCCTTCTGCCACCTCCTTCACCACCATGATGGTTGCGCTCCTTTCTGCTTGTGTACTGCGTAGTGTCACATTGGGATTGCACATAACAGTGACGTGTCATCCACCACACCGTACACAGCTCAGTCATCTAGTGCCTCTGCATTCTCGTGATAAGTGCCTTCTTTTCGTGAAATGGAAACTGTGTTGTCAGGGCCTCAGGAACTCAGGACTCAACCAGCGTCCGTTTAGAATCAGCTATTTAATCATCTGTCTCGAGCGCCCCTTCCTTTTCTTCATCGTCGTCTTTTCCGGCCCACGCCTCGCGATGACTATAGCTCCTAGCAGGCTAGCACATCTCCCCCTTTTAGCTAAGGGCTAAAGCGTACTATGGGTTTGACTACTCGGCCACTTCGGGTCACAACGTGATCGGAATGTGGGGTCCCATAGGTCGGCTCTGGTGTTCCTTCCGCAATCGCATCTCGCGGTGGAAGGTCAGGTGAATTGGGCACTGTCGGAATCGGGACGAGATGAAATCGGTTCCGACTGAGGTTCCCATCCTGTGTGTTGACGGAGTAGGACCTTGGAGTGTCCACCGACGACTGCACTATTCCAGTTTCGCGTCGATCGGTTATCCACACTCTATCCTCGGGCATCAAAGGTTGAAGCCGGCGGACACCGTGTTGTCGGTCATAGTTACGCTTCTGATTCATGATCCTACGTTCTTCCCAAAGATTGAGGGCTTCTTTATCTACCTGACTTGGCTGAAGAAGGGAGTCAGCCGCTGGTAGAGAAGTACGCAATCTCCGTCCCATCAACAACTCTGCTGGACTGTAGCCGTTACCCAACGGTGTCGAGCGGTAGGCTTGTAACGCGACGTAGCTGTCCCCAGTTTTCTTCAAACTACGTTTGATAATGCCAACAGCAACTTCCACGAAGCCATTACTTTGGGGGTAACGTGGGCTGGATGTTCTGTGTTCAAAACCCCAACTTTCGGCGAACTTCTGGAACTCCGACCCTTGTATTTTTCGGAATTGTGGTCCGTTATCACTAAAGACTACTTCAGGTGTTCCATGTCTTGCAAAGAAAGACTTCAAGTGAGTTATGATTGTAGTCGCCGTCAGACTGTTGAGAAGTGCAATCTCTGGAAACCTTGAAAAGTAGTCGGTGACGAGGAGGTAGTCTTTTCCTTCCAAGTAAAACAGATCCATTGCGACTTTTTGCCATGGTCGATCTGGAAACTTTGATGGAAGCAGTGGTTCGTGTCGGTTGTGTGTTTCTTGAATGCACTGTGTGCATGTGCGTATCACATCTTCCACTTGACGGGAAAGTCCAGGCCACCATACAGACTGTCGGGCACGCGCCCTACACTTGGTAATGCCTTGGTGTCCTTCGTGAAGTCTATGTAGGATGTCACTGCGCATTGACTGAGGAATAATAATGCGGGATCCTCTCATGAGGAGACCGTCTTGCAAAGCTATTTCTGACCTATGAGGCCAGTAATCCCTGCAGTCGGTTTGAACCCCATTCCGTGTCGGCCAGCCTTCTTCACTGTACTCAACCAGCGTCCGTTTAGAATCAGCCATTTAATCATCTGTCTCGAGCGCCCCTTCCTTTTCTTCATCGTCGTCTTTTCCGGCTCACGCCTCGCGATGACTATAGCTCCTAGCAGGCTAGCACAGAAACGGCGGTTTTCTCGGTGCAGGACGTCTCTTCAGACTCCCAGCGACATCCCAGAAGCGCAGGCGTCCGGGCCGTGATTGTCCATGCGACGAAACACGTATGTATTGTCTGCATCGGTTGTTGTGGTAAGCGCCGCCGCCGTTGCAACTCGAGGTTTCTGCACTGTCGATGTCGCTCCGCCAGCGGATACATGCCCTCAGTTACCGGTGGCATCCTTTCACGGCATTCCACCTCATTTCTCAAAAACCTCGCAGCTCATCCTCCAGGTATGTTGAATGCGCGTTTACCCTATGGCTGTACTCCAGGCCCACATCGGCTAGTATTGTTTTACGCAACAGCGTTAGGAGCAGCACTCCATACATTCTCTCTTCGGCCTCGAGGCTGTGAACTTTTTTGAGGCTGTGAACGCCCAGAAACGTTGAGCCTCTCAATGTTTCTGGAGTCGTGAACCGCTCGGACAGCCATCGACTGCAACATGATCCTTGACAATTAGGTCCGTTTGGCCGAATCTTTGGGTAAGAAGGTCGAGGGCAACCTTGTAGTTTTTGGTTGTCAGTTGGAGTTTCTCGATCGCTACGGCAGCCCTACCAATGAGGTAGCTTTTTATGTGCTTATATTTCGCAATGCCGGAAAGAGACTCGTTCTGATGGATCGTTGTGTTGAATTCGCCCCAGAAGCCAGGCCATAACCGAATGTCTCCTCCGAATTTCGCGATCTCCAATTTCAGAAGCCTGTCGTCAAGGTATGGTTAAATGAGGGCTGTCCTGAGTTGCTGCCAGGTGTCGAAGAACCAGATGTTGTATTGCTCCTTGTTTTGTGCTCCCTGAACTTCCGCTTCACCCGCCCTTCGGCTACGCTCATGAGTTCCACATACCCTTCCATGCCACTCACTTCCTCTTCTAAAGCTTCATCTTTGATTGACGGCTCAATTTCTCTGTCAATCTCCCTTAGGTAAGCCTCTTTTAGAAGAATATCAAGCTTTTCTTCCAGCTCGCATATTTTAGTTTGATCTGAGGTCAGCAGGGTGCCGATCTTGTTGATCACTTTTGTTGTGGCAGTGTGCAGTGTTGTTCTTTGTCTTTTGAGACACTAGACACTCTCCTGGCTCGTGGGCAGCATGTCCTGGTTGTAGTTATTAAACCAAACCCACATAATCACGCGAATTTCATGCTCACACGAACACACAAATAGAGCACCCGAGACATGCCACTTTCTTTGTGGAAATATTTGCATACTGCGCTTTCTGTCAGAATCAGATGCACAGTGGCGTACTCCACATGACCCCAAGCTGGTGTGCGTTAGCCTAACTAAACACTGATTGTGTCCTACTACCTACACATTACAGGCTATATCAAATTGAATTTGTGGTGCCTCAAACATCTGTTTTAAACAGCTGGTCTTACTTGTTCCGATCCCTAGCCGCTGGCTCCAAGTATGCCGGCTCATAGATTTTCAGCTTCTCGTAGGCTATATCGAGTAGCCTCTCGTCCAAGCAGACGAGCCCAAACAGCTCGTCTCCAGTGATGCAGCGACCTAAGCAGTTCCGTGCGACACGTGGAACATCGCGGCAGCATTGCCCTTCTTGTAGGGGACAGTTTTCACAGGTGCATCTGGAAGAGTGTACAGCAACGAAACATTATATTTTTAGCATCCTTTGTGTTTCAGCCCTGTATTTACTAAACTATTTCAGTTCTTTGCTTTGGTATGTCTATCGATCATGAATATTGGTGTATGTAATATGTATGGACAATTAAAACAGTATTTGTAGCATATGCCTCTGCCTGTTCTCCCCGATTTTTAGACATATCACTTGCAATGAAATATTGACATAAACAAGCGTCCAGATTCAATAATGAACTTCACTGGACTTGTGACTCCTCGCTCTCGTTCCTTTCTCGTTGTTCCCTTGCTGGCAAGGGAGGGTCGTAGGCATAAGGATCTGGGACGTATATGGCCCCTTGCCTCATAACTCCAAAATCCACTTCAGGCGGCAGGCTGTCGTCGTCGGACATGGATGCTGGAAGTAAAGCATCTTAATTGGACATGAAGGCTGATTGAAGAGGTACAGATTTAATTTATCATGCATGCCTGGCAAGTTATTATTAAATGTACCACATGTCTGGTGGCAGCCTCAATGGGGTACTAGACGTTTTCTAAAATGGTGCTAACATGATGCCAGGTAAGCAGGAAAAATACTTGGTGGGCTCGACATTTCGCAAAATTACGACATAAAAATATTTGGTGGGCGCAATATTTTACTAATTTGGTGGATTCATCTGTATTCAATAGCATGGGTAGTTTAGTCGCGTGATAAATTTTCCAAATTGAGAAATTCGCAAAAACAGTCGTTTCTAGTATGTGCCATAATTCTGCATGCTGCTGGGAGTGCTGGTAACAATTTTTATGCGAGAATGTGACCAGTAAAATACATATTCGAGGCAAGGTTCTAATTGACACGTCGAGTCCCTGATTTTTGCGAGCCATTTTATTTTTTTGTTTGGGGGGGGGGGCATTTTTACAATTGCTTACAAGCTAATCCGTTACTTGTGCGGCGACGGTATCTGAACAATCTGCTAACAAAATTAAAGCACATATACCAATTTGTTACCTTACCTATTGCACCCCGCAGTACGTACGCAGACTGTTGTACATCATAAACGCGCGCTCTATCGGGCATTGCAAAAGCATAGCGAAGGCTCCTTTGAAAGTCTAAACCGTCTGTCAGACATTCCGCTCTCTCAGTTCTTGGCCGCTTCGCGAGAACGAGAAAATCGAGTGGCTGCCGGATGACATCGCAGTTTGACATGGGAGCGACTTATAGTGCAACACTTTTTCAAGCTAAACGCGATAGCTTGCGACCGCGATCTTTCGCGACATCTTTCGTCATTGTCAGCTTACACGATGAAGAGGCCAGATTTTTTTCACGAAACGCTCCAACGAAGTAATTAGCTTTGATGAATGCAGCGAACTATTTATCGTTTCTTTTAGCAGGGAACGAACGAACTTACGAACGAACTCACCACGTCTTTGCTCAAGCAAAAAATGAGCACAACAAATCAGTTTCCATAAACATTGCTACACTCTTTCCTTTCTCAGACTCATCACAACATATTCTCGTCTTCAGCTTCTACAAATTCCTACAAAGTATACCTGCGCAAAAACTTGCCTTTTGTAGTAGGAGCCGGGGAAAAGGAACGACGGGTGATGCTTCGACGACGCTACGGACGTTTGTGCAGCACATGTCGGCGTGTCAGCATGGTAGATCACGTGATTCCTTGTATCCCACGTGGGTGCGTATGCACCTGACGTCGAGGCTACAATGTTGCCCGGCTGCGCCGAGGTTTCGGTTTCGGTTTGCGATTATGGTAAATGACAAGATCGCACGAAAAATATTTGGTTTTCACGAGACAAACGCTCTAGGGTTGTTTTGGACCATTTTTCACGTTTATATCACCCACTATCTCAAAATTTCCGAAATCGAGCGGAGTTGCCCTTTAATGCGAAAGCATGAACTGGGGGTCCCATGGAGCGAAGCCGGCGGCGTCTGTAGCCGTTTTCTGTAGCCGCAAAAAACGGCACCTAAGTGCCCCCTGGCTGACCAAAACGGCACTCAAAGTCCCATTGGCTGCGACACGACGTATCGTATGCTTCGTCATGGAAGCTGGCAGGGCCGCTCGAGGTCAAAGCGGACGCGCCTCAACAATAAAACACAAAGAGAAGTGCAGCAACGCAGATCCATCGTTACGGAAGCTGTGGAGCCGACTGGAGCGCCGCGCCTGCGCAGGGGGGGAGCGTGCATGATGTCACAGCGGGAGCGCCATCTGATAAAGGAAGACGTGGTGCGCTACTTGTAGGAATGCGCTGCGTGTAGGAAAGCTTTCAAATTCCTACACGTAAGCAGTCTTAAGTGTCTCGGCCAAATTTGTCATGGCCCCTTTAAAGCCCCTCGATCAAATTCACGCTTCGCGTTTCTTATACAAGTGCCGACAACCATTGTTGCGCGGACGCTTGATACACGTGCCTCGAGCGAATGTGGCGCCGCCATTTGCTTCTAATGTAGTGTACTGGCATAGCCTCCTCAACACTGTAGGCTCCTCTATACACCTTTTCTACAAGGGTGCAGCCATTTTGAATGTCGTCAGTCCTGGTATTCGGTAAAACATCGTTTTGATCTCACCCCGCCGCTGGGAGTTGTTTATTCTTCTTTGTGTACTTCTTCAAAAAAATAAGTACACATTCTTCTTTTGTCTCACAGGTTAAAGTGTGTTTTTTTATTTTTTTTTTGTCCCGCATACCAGATACGGAACCCATGTGACTGAGAACGGCAGGTATCAGAAAACGTCTATACTGACAAAGCCTGGCAGGCCAAAAGTGAAGAGGCAGACCGGCACAACAACAGATAGGAGAGTATGAACCCACTCTCTCCTGGGAAAAGTGGCGCCATTCATTGTTGTGGAAATGCTCGAGACACGTGACGCGCGCCACTTCTGGGAAGAACATGGCGTCTGAAATGTAGCTTAGTGCTGCGCTGTGCCGCCATAATCTTTCCAGGGTCTGCACGTTGTGCATGCCTCGCGGATCGACGCACCTCGCGCTACTTTTGAAACATTAAGAGGCTTAGGAGAGTCTAGGGTGCCTCGATGTGCGTCTGTCATAGGGTGAAGACAACATTGTTGTATTGAAAACTGCCTGCGCATGCCAAATGGGCCTTAAAATGGCACCGAAGCACCGGGCGGAGCTAAGCGCTCGCTCCGAACGAGATCGAAGCGCGTGCATTCTGGGCACAGAAATTGCCGATATGCCTCCACCCGAAGACAGACGTGGCGAAGTGTATGAAGGCTCCCTAGGAGAGTCATGTAACGGGCACCCCGCTGCGGCTAGACGCCTAAACATACCTGTCCCGAGCGATGGAATGTCGGCTCGTGCTCCTTGCGTTCCTCGCGCTACCGCTTCTTTTCTCGTCGGGTTTGAAAACCATAATTCGGGTACTCGCCACTGCAAAAGCTGTGCGCTGAATACCAGATTCCCCGAGAAATGCTCTCTGCTACCAGATCCTCGCGCTCCAAACCTGCGATCGGGCGCTCTCCGTCGTCGAACTGCCAGGCTTTGTGAGTATGGAGACGGTTATGGTGCTGTGCGTGCACTCACCTGATGTTATGTCTTCGTTCCTCTCGCCGTCCATACGGACAGGAATTGAGAGGGACAAGGAGATGAGAGAGCGCGTAGACGTCAGAGCGACGAGATATGATTGGTAAGATTAGAGGGTAGACGCCAGGCCCAGCTACCTTTGTCTGTCTCCCTCCAATCAGAGCGAACGAGACCGTCGCCTGCTTCTCGCGCAGAATCTGGCGTTTGGACGCCGAACACCAAACACCGGCGTCCAGCGCCCGAACGTTAGTGTCCGCGCGAGGAGGAGACGTTGCTCTTGCTCCTCCTGATTCGAGAGAGACAGTAGTTAGAGATAAACGCTGCTAGCCTTTGCATCTACCCACTACCCTTCCAATCAGAACTCGGCATTCTGACGTCTCCGCGCGATCATATCCCCTCCTCTACCTCGGTTTCTCTCCGCATTGACCCTTCATTCCTAAATGGATTAGAAAACTAGGACAAACTTCCCAAGATAACATTGTTGTCCGCTTTCTTTGTTGTTGATATCGTCCCTCATACTTCGCATTCAAGAGCGAATTCGGTCTCATCATGCAGAAGCAACCACTTCCCGGTTAAGTATCGCCGCCTATAGAGCCTTTTCTGTTTACAAATACATATCGTCTCTTGGTTCCCAATATAGTAGACCAATCTCATCAGCAATTTTGGCTGCGCCACCGCTGCCGCAATGCACCGAGGGAACTTTAGTCATTCTGCACGTGCGACAACATCGTTGGGGCTCTGCGCATGCAGAGCACGGGAAGGCACGAGCCGTCTTGGGCACTGCCGCCTGGCTCCTGTGATCTAAAGTCACGGCGAATTCACCCATGGGCCCAACGCTTTGTGAGTATTCCGGTCGCTCCGTTTGGGCAGTCTTTCCGAGCCTATTGATTTGAGAATTCCTGTCACTCTAAAGAAAAGCCCGTGCGTCTACTTCCCGCACAACACTCGCAGAATCAATCACCGCAACTTACGGAGGCAGCTCAGCGAAGGACAATGCCAAAGTTCAGACCAATAAACGCAGTTTGAGTTGTGACATTTAGCAATGCATGCATGACGTTTTGCACTGCTTAATGTCACAACCTAGACTGCGTTTTTTGGTCTAAACATATGTTTCGGCATCGTCATTCGCTGAGCTGCCTCCGAAAGTTGCGGTGATTGGCTCTCCGAGTGTCGCGCGGGGAAGTAGACGCACGGGCTTTTTTTAGAGTGATGGGACGGTGAACTTCTACGGAAATCATGAAATTGGGCTATATAGCGAGATACTTATGTGTGTATATTAAACATATAAGAGAGGATCGGTCGTTCTATATGCGACTCCAGCAAAACGGACGCCACCAAGCGGGAAAACCGGGAACCAGCCGGACCAGGTCGCTCCGCGCCCCTCCGCGTCTCTGGTGCCTTTCGCGGACGCGTGTTGTAGGCGCGGTGGCGAATAATCTAATTTGTCGAAGGTCCGAAAATTTCTTAAGTTTTCCTGAGTGTTCATTAGTGTGGTGAAGCGTCAGTAGATTGTAGATCTCCTTCCATCGCATGTTTGAAAGCCCGTTTACTCCGCAACGCACGGACGCGTCCTTTCGATTTCTTGAATGGGGAGGAATCACGGAAAAACGTTTTGACTTCTGGTCTGTCTCAAATCACATTCAAAGTGACGACTGCTTGGTAACTGATAAGTGGTTTCTTTATAAGGATGTAAAACAGTCGAAGGAGGACGACAGACGAGGCGTTTCATTGAAGGGAACACCAATGTTGCAGTCAAATGAATGGGAAAGTTCGATAGCGGCTTTTCTTGAGTTTGGTTGTGTTCGGTTAGCTCCAAGTTTGAGTTACCCACGCCGGTCGGTGCGTTGGCTATTCATCTTGGCTGCTTTTCGCCGAAAAAGCCTCTGGACCACACTGAAAGAGTGGGGTTGATTTCGCAATTACTTGATTCAGGAAAACCTGCTCGCTGCAAATGACGAA